GGATGCCCACCCCCACTCCACATGAAGGATTAAAAATAAAATTTTAGGATAATTTACCTTCATCTTCGCCATCAAACTCTTCTTCTTCTTCCTCGTCGCTGATTTCCTCTTCATCAAGCTTTCTTTGTGATTCATGAATCTTTCTCACCTCAGCTCTCTGGAGCTTCATGTTCGCTTGGAGCTTCTCCTTTACACTACGCAGATTGTCACCTAAGTAATCGAAATCAACGACAACGTTAATAAAACGGAAGATTATATACAATGTTAGACCTAACTAAGGCTGGGTTTTGGTGGAAACTGTGGGGAGGTGGGAAAAATTTAGGGGAGGTGCCGCGGTTTAGCTGCTGACGACCCCCATGGAAAGTTAGGGTTTAGAACGGGCCAAAGTCAACGACGTGACGTATGCATGTAGTGTACATATGTATCAGTGTACTAATGAATTATGACTGTACAACTCATCCAATTTTCCCCTTCATTACAAATAACAATTACTGCAAAGTTCCCTTCAAAGTGTACTTGACACAGAGATGAATGGCTATGGTATCACTGGATAGCTAACACGCAAAGAAAAATTTTCTTACGAAGTGTAGACCCTACTATAAGCAACCAAAAAATGTCAAATTCTCACTCTGATCTATCATTGAAACGTTCCCAAGGGGAAGTGCATGACTTTTCAGGGGAGGTGCAAAACGATATCAGGAGAGGTGCGCACCTCTTTCCCACATCTTGTAGCAAGCCTGCCAACAAGCCATCAACAAGTTGTGTTCGCACTGTTTGTCTCTAGTTGTCAACAAGTATGGAACAACTTGTTAACAGTTGTAACAACCTTGCTGATGTGATGCTTGTGATGTCACTCTGAGTGTATATCCACACCGGGCAAGCTTGAAAAATATGCCTGGCCACGGTGGGAATCGAACCTACGACCTTTGGAATACTAGCCCAATACTCTACCAACTGAGCTACGCAGTCAGGTCGGTTCGAGATGCGATATATTTCGGAACTGAGTCTAGTTCCTTCACAACCTTGTTGATATTTTATCACACTTGTTCCAACACGTCCGATACAGTCATGATATAACAATATTGTTACAACCTTGTGTGGTCAACTTTGTAATATTCTTATTATATCATGACTGTATCAAACTAGTTTCTTGTCTACCTGGTTGGAAAATTGGCTGTAGCATTTTTTGATTTTTCTCGTTCTCAGTATTTTCTGTTGTTTTTAATTTCTCGACTTCATCAGTGACCTCAGCTACATCAGAATTTTGTGTTTGTTCCTTGACTTTGCTGATTTCATCGGGTTTAGTTTGTTTTAACTTGCTTTTGTTGTGGCTGAGAAACCTGAATTACGAAACGTCGATTAAGATTACGGACAAAGAAAACCAGAGTCCTGGGAGAAACTGACTGCTTATGTTTGGTAGAGTCAAATTGGAAATGTTCGTCTAACATGAAACTGGGGTGATCAATAGACCTTTCCCCTTATGAGTGAAATTTTGATCTAGATATGCCTGGACAAAAATTTCATCACAGCTTGAAAGAGCATCACAAAATTAGTAATAACTAATATTCCGAAGTTTCGTTGCGAAATGTTGTAAAATGTGGATAATATAGGCTTGCGAAGTTTGCCGTTTTTCAGTCATTTTGCATTACGCACGGGAATTTGATAATCAGATGATCAAACTGATTATCAATTTCCCATTTGTAATACAAAATGACTGAAAAACGGCAAACTTCGCAAGGCTATGTTATCCGCATTTTACAACATTTCGCAACGAAACTTCGGAATATTACTAATTTTGTGATGCTCTTTCAAGCTGAAATTTCTGTCCAGATCAAAATTTCACTCAAAAGGGGAAAGGCCTATTAATTAAACTGACATCATGGCTGCAGAAGCTAGGGAACCATGATCCAACACTACTTCCAACGTCTAAGAGCTGTAACTCCAAATTAATTGAAACGTATGCTTCAAAACTTAGTCGAATGGCGCTGCATGGGTTAGTGGGCGATTCCAGCTACACTGTATAATCTAAATTTTGATCAAGGCAAGAAGAACGATATCCAACACCACAGCTAGAAAGAGCGTCTTAGAATGAGTAATACTGCAAAGTCAAAGATTGGTTGCTAAATGTTATAGATTGAGGAAAATGTAGCCCTGTGAAGTTCGCAAATTTTGTACTTTCGGCTCAAAAAATCGTTATTTTCCCCGCGCGTAATGCAAATACATACAAAATTTGCGAACTTCACAGGACTATATATTTTCCTCATTACAAATTTTGCAACCAAACTTTGCAATTTTACTCATTTTAAGATGCTCTTCGATTCCGGCATTGGTAATGGATTTCGTCCTTGTCTAAGATCAAAATTTCGCCTATAGCTCTGGAATAAATCCATATTAAAGAGTAGTAAGATTACCAAGCCTTACAGTACACATTTAAAAATCTCACGGCTTGTCAACAAGATGTGTTCGCACTGCTTGTTCCCAGTTGTTATCAAGTCTGCAGCAAATTGTTATCATCTATAAAAATTTGTGTAGTTGTGTCAATTACCTTTCCATCAAATGATTTAGCCCTGCAGGTTTTTTGCTAGAACTATCATCAAAGAAGAAAGGATCAAAAGCCCCGGATAATTTTGGTTTAACAACTGTGTCAGGTTCTGTAGTTGTCAAGTCTTCAGCTTCTGAACTCTCTACTTCTTTTTCAGATATTTCCACAGTTTCTTCAGCATGTTTGGCTTCTTCAGCATGTTTGGTTGCTTTGTCATTCCTGCTTCAAACAAATATGGAAATCAATAAATTAAGGTAGGGATGAGATTTTGCAAGGAAATTTTTAACAAAATATCTTCGCAGAAAATTGTCTTACGCCTTACAGGAAATTTTTGTCATCTAGCTTATATACTGGAATGCCATTTAGTTTACAAAAGCGTTTTGCATGTCAAGATTTGTGGCTATAAATAAAGTATGATCTCGGCATACCTTGTGTAGCCACGTTTTTGCAGCATTAGGCTACATATAAAATATTTATGCAGCATGCTATAGTTTCATTGGCGGTGCCTCGGCTGGTATCCAGAGTTATCAACTATAGCAGCCTATGGAACAACATAGGTACATAAAAATGTAGTATAACATGCAGTGCTCGGTTACTTTATTACCATGGCTATAAAATATACCGGTCAAATTATAGCCACGGTTACTGAGCCACAGTTATTACCATGGTTATTATCCACATATGCAGCAAGTTTTATATTTGACTTAGTAGTACAAGAAATTTTTTGATTTTGCTGGCCGGAAGAAAAATGTAATTCCTAGGCCTGGTTAAGGGGTGCCTCACCTTGAAAGCTTGTCGTTTTTGATATTGTCCACTGGGACTCTTTTTAGAAAGTGTCGGATATCTTTGGTTTCTGGCTGATGATAGGGAAGTTTCACACGCGACTCTAAAACAACATTAAATTAAGGAAAATATTCAATCAACTTTTGGCAGAATAGTGTCTGCTTTCTTATTTTACTCTGTTTAACACCAGACAATTTTTCTCATCAAGAGGAGAGCACCAGTGCTCCATGGGTTAATCAATCGAGAGTAATTTATAATAAGTCCAATACCTCTAACCAATCTTTGACTCTCACTGTGAAGTTTTGTTACAGCATCTTGCTTTGCCTTTCGTCTCTTTGGTTCCTTCGTAGAACTTGCAGTAATCTCTAACGTGGTCTGTTGAATAGTTGGGATTGATTTTACAATTTGTGTATTGTGGTGAATTTGTACATATATATGTACAAGACATACAGTAAATAGTAAAATGAAGTGCATTTACTGCCGCCTTGCATGGCGGTTAGCCCAGCCAAGCATTTTCACCACACACATTGGAAACGTACTACTCAACAACAATGTCGTTGATAAGATGATTTGCATATCCCTCCATTGTCGCCATTTTGACCAACATCACGTGAAGAAATTGTGGGTTCTCATTGGCAGTAGTTGATTCAAGCAGCTCAGCACCACAGAAGGGCCACTTACGTCGGAAGCTTTGAAGTTTCTGTCACCCTGGCCGCCATCTTCCTAGCCAGTCGATTACATTTTCTGGCCAATAAACGCGCTGTATTGGCTGAAGGCCCCGCCTTCTGGCCAGTCAACTGCATATTTTTGCATAGAAAAATGGTGACACGTTGCACCGCTGAGTGGCCCTTCTGGTACTGATCTTTATTCTGTGTCAGCACTAAGCTCGCAACATCTGCAGACTTTGAGATTTTTTCCTCGCCAGGTGAAAAATATCAAACACGATAGACATTTTCCTCAAGAGGTCAAATCCTCACTAAAACTATCCGCACACGAGAGAGAAGCATGCTGAGCTAGCTGCCAAGCAAGGCGGTTACCTCAGCAAGATTCTGTCATGCAAAGCAAGCTTTACTGGCTAGGCATACAACATACGTATATAAATATAAATTATACATGTATATATTTGTACACAATATAAACACAAATTAACATAGCCCAAAGCCTCAAACATACCCTGATTTTTTTCGCTTTTTGTTTTATTTTTTCAAGGCTTTCCTCCCCTTCACACTCACTATCATGAAATGGATCTTCTTCATCACTTTTATCAGCACGATCGCCGCCATTCTCAATCACAAAACCATCTTCCTCTTCACCACCATCTTTGTTCTCAATGGCTTCGTTATCACTGTCAATTTCTGCATCAAAAAGATCGCTATTCGCCGCAAATAGCTGTAAAATACGACAAACAATACCTAAGCTATTACCCCCAATAAAATATAATGTAAACTAGGCGTTTATTGTACTGTTTATACCTGTTCACTCGCGTTTTCAATGTCCGACATATTTTATATCTCTTCCAAATATTAACCAAAAATTCGCGCCAAAACAAAAACAAATTTCGCGGGTAGTGTTTCCATTTATGGGTAAACTTTTCTTCCATAAAAAAATTTATCAAACTCTCAGAAACTCTCTCAAAACTCAAAAGCTCATTTCTTGAATATTTTGTTTTACGAGTTTAATTCTGATACTGCAACTAAAAGTCTAAATTGAATAAATATTTTATTTTTTATCAAAGAAATTTACGTTTATGTGGAAGCACTTTTGGTTAAATCACAGTTAATTGGTTAAATGAAATGCAAAATGCGAAAAAAAATGGCTTAAACTGCTATGAAAACTGAAAAATTCAACTCTTCATTATTATTTGACATGTCTTTAGTTAGATTTTATGTATTTTAATGTGTATTTAGTAAAAACAAGTGCCTTTGATGAAAAATTAAATATTTATTTCTTTAATGTAAGTTCGGTTCATCTTCGGCCATAATTCGCAATGTTCCGTAGCTCTTCGATGCGGAACGTAGCGCATGTGATATAGTTTTAAAAACAGCTGTTGGATAAAGTTTATCAAGTTTATTTTCTTTTTGGAAGACAATATGGATAAAATGGACCCGAAATTATTGAAAGAGCATGCTAGTTTTAAGAAGAGAAGTCTTGCTACCCCCTCAGTAGAAGCACGGAAATCAAAAGACAAGTCAAAATCGGGTAAGGATGACTCTAACAAGAAATCACAAAAGAGAACTTTTAATAGTACATTTTCCCAACCAAAAAAAACCAGTAATACTTTCGATTACAAGACTGTCACGCTCCGTACAAAAAATCGTTTCGCTGTACTAGCCACTATCGTTGACGAAATGAAGAAGCGCCACCTTTGCGGTGAGTTTGATCCGCTATCACTCGACGAAATATTAGATCGTATAAAATATACCGACATAGATCCGAATGACAAAAGTTGGTTGGCCAACCAAGCTTTGAGAGAAAATAAAAAATTGAGCGTCAAGGGTGGAAAATTCGCATTCAAACCGGTATATAACATGAAGAACAAAAGGCAGTTTTTGGACGTTTTACAGCGACACTACAACGACGGCTTAGGGGGTATGCTTTTTGATGATGTTGAAGAAAGCTTACCGTCTGCTGAGAGGATCGTTCGAGGCACAACAGGGAAAGGGCTGGTTCTTACTGTAACCAGATCAACCGACAAGAAAATCGTTCTGTTTCATAACGACGTTCAACACTCGATGGATGTTGACGAGAAATTCAAGGAACTATGGCGCCATTCGAGTGTCGAGGGAATGGGCGAGAGCGATATTGAAAAATACCTTTTCAATCACGGCATTAGCGCCATGAAAGATTCTGCGTTAAGGAAGCCGTTGGTTGCAGCTCAAAAGAAAAAGCCCATTCGTAAAAAGAAACAATTCAAAGTTCAAAATGTTCATTTGGATCAGGGACTTTTGAAAGAGTTTAATAATGTGCAGAAATAGAAATGGCAGAAAAAATATTGATGTATTACTTTGACCTCTATATTTGTAACTGGATAGGCTATTGTTTTGACCTTTATAAGCTTAAAATTTAAAAATAAATGAAATAATTTGAAGTTAAATACAGTATATTCATAGGTTGTTTGGTGTGTTTCCTAAACACTAGTTTCAGATAATGAGGGGGGGGGGTTAAAAATACTTTTTCAGACTTTTTTTTAACTCAATTTTTCAGAAAATTCCTTAATATTTAACATGTTCTGCAATTCCAGCATTCTGGGACCCCCCTCTGGGCAAGTTGCCCCCCCCCCTTTCTTGACCCCCCCCCCCCCAGTACTTCTGGCCCGGCAATGTCAAGACAGCATCTTTTTAATTTAAAACCTTTAAATTCATTGTATAGATCAATAGATTAACCCACTGAGCCGCATTGCGCTCTGGTGCGCCCTACTTTATTATTTTACTCTGTTTAACGCCAGATTATTTTACTCTGTCTAACGCCAGACGATTTTACTTGTCAAGGGGAGAGCACTGGTGCTTAATGGGTTAACTGGCCTATCTGCCCAAGTGTCTAGTTAACCCATTGAGTCGCATAATTGCACCCTGATGCACCCTACTTTATTATTTTACTCTGTCTAATGCCAGATTATTTTACTCTGTGTAACGCCAGACGATTTTACTCCATCTAACGCCAGCCAATTTTACTCGTCAAGGGGAGAGCGCTGGTGCTTAATGGGTAAAGAAGAAAAACTTGTTGCTGATTTACAAGTCACTGGCTGGCATGGCGAAAATGCCGCTGACAGTCGGCAGCTAAAATTAAACCATGATCTCAGATGTGCTCTGACAAAGCCCTCAAGTGGTCATGGACCGCACAGCAATTTTACAATGGGGGGTGGGGGCAGGTGTTGGGATGATGTAGGTTTGCTGGGAACCTTACTAAAGGAGTCTTGGGGCATGTCCCCCCCCCCCCCGGAAAATTTTGAAAATTACAAGCCCAGAAAGTGTATTTCCAGCTATTTCCCACAATAATTTTATTTAAAGTAACCATGGCCCCAGGCCCTCTTGTTGGCCCCCACTCATGCAAAATTCCCCCCACACCACACACACTCCTCGGGCCCTTTTAACACATTTTTGTGTGAAATCATGAAATGTGAATGTATATAGTAAGTCTTTGTCTGTACGTATATTTTTATCATAGTTAATGAGAGCATATGAAGAAATTCTTTAGGGTTTGTCTGGATGTTTGTAAACTTTTATACATTACAGTAGCTTTGAGTTAAAATATATGTTGAAAGACAAGTACATTGCGAGTAAAAATGTTAAACATTAACTTTTTATTGTATTCAGAATTATTTAAAATCCCCCCCCCCCAAACGCACTAAATAGCAATTTTGGAGTCTCCAGATCTCCCGTACCCCCGTACAAAACTCGTGCCTTCGGCGCTCGGTCAATGGGCCCTTTTCCAAGTTATGGGCCCCCACTCGTAAATCTTTAAAATATACCTTGCTACGAAAAAAACACTTTGAAAACTAATATGAGCTTCTAATATGTTTCACCTTTCAAAACAAATAATTTTGGTTAAAGTGCCTATGACACGAAATTTCACCCCAAATGTTTATGATTGCATTGTAAAGATCACTTAAAATGACTTACTAATTTCTTTTACAGAATTTTGGTCATTTGCTTCCTTTGCAAGATGTTCAACTTTGTTTCATATGCAAATATCACCGGTGTGACATCACATCGCATAATGACATTTTGAAAACGCAATATTTTACCTTGATAAAATATTTTTTCAAACAAATACAGAGGATTAATTACCAGTTATGAAATTAATACATATACAAGGGCAATTTTTAAGTTTTTTTAGATACGTATTCGTCTAGAAAAATGTACTTTTCTGAAAACTCATTATGTGATGTGATGTCACACCGGTGATATTTGCATATGAAACAAAATTGAATATCTTGAAAAGGGAGCAAGTTACCAAAATTCTATAAAAGAAATTATTAAGTCATTTTAAGTGATCTTTACAATGCAACCATAAACCTTTGGGATGAAATTTTGTGTCATAAGCACTTTAAGCCAATGGCAATATCGAGTAATCTAGGAGAAATTTTCGAAGTAAATCAGGCATGAAAAACAGTAAATGTGTATACACTAGTAAATGTGACATTTATTATCAATATATTAAGATTTACATTGTCTTGGATATAAGTAACTTTTTTTTATCTACTCTAATGTTTTAGCCAGTCCTATAGTTGACGTCATGTGTAGTTTGCGAGGCACGTTTTGTAATTCCGCATACAATAATTGTCAGGCGTTTTGTCCAAACATTCATAATAGCCACTTCGACAATACAACTAAAATGAGATGGAAAAAACACAGACAGAAATTAGTACTTTATGGAAGCAGGAGTACTGAATGTATAACGCCCTCTTGCCCTAAAAATATAACAGTTTGTGTCTGTTTTCCAGATGCAGTATATTCCCCTGAAAGTAAGGTCGCCTCCACGTTCGAAAAAAAGGGCTATCTTTTATTTTCAGGCCGATTTTAAACACTACACAACTTTTACCTAAATCTGTCTCGTGCAACCTGCTTACAACTTGAGTTTTGTAAATCAGGCACACATGTCGCGGCGCCCGCGTAGGTGAGTTGTGTGCTTGATTTTACGGTAAATACTATTTCGCTGACCTCAGAATGACATTTCGTCAAAACTTTTTTCTTCAAGATTGGTTTAGAAACAAATTTGGCATAGGGTTAGGTTAGGGTAAGGGTTAAGGTTAGGGTTAGAGTTGGTGTTTGGAATAGGATTAGTGTTAGTAAAACCGTTGCTTTGTCACATTTTGTCACTTTGAGACCAGCGAAATAATCTCTTCCTTGATTTACACAGTACAATTATTAAACTCAAGTTTTAAGCAAGTTGCATGCAACGGTTTTTGGCGGCAAAAGTTGCATAGTGGTTGTCGGGTTTTCAAATACAAATATAAACAGTGCTGTCGTTTTTTATTTTGTAAAGACAGCTTCCGTTTTGAACTTCTCTTTACAGTAAACACTTGTACGTACATTCACTATCAATATTAATATTATTGTTGAGTACGTTAACATTAGTGCACTGCACCATACTAGATTGTACAATTATGTGTTGTACTGTTTTATATTGTACTACAAACTAAACCAAAATAGAATATTATAATGAGATCTCATTGTCGAGTCCGTTATCCGAAGTGTGTCAAATAAAAAAAAGCGAAGCTGTAAAATTTCGTCATTATTTGTCATAATTTTGCCATAAACATGGTCTTGATGAGTGCTAATAGCTACGAATGTAGTCAAATTTACACCTCAGATTTTTGTCTTGTATTGTTTGACGCGTATATCTAATTGAAGCTTCAAAAAATGTACAAGGATGCGTCAGCGAAATAATGTTTACTCTTTATTAATTGTCTTGTTCGAAATGCTGGGCTTTATTATTTATCTTTAAGTTCGAAGAATATATTCGATTCTGAAAATTGTTACTTTTGTTACACTCAAGAATAAGAGTGTAAAAATTAGAATTTAGAACATTACCGATTTAGCTATTCATGCAAAAAAGGTATATTTAACTATAAATGTCTATTTTCGAGGACTATATATTAATTAGAGAAGTAAAATTAAAATTTTTGAAATGTTATTTAGAATTAGAAATTAGAAAAAAGCTAGCATTTAATGGGGATAGCAAATTCGTAGATTTTCGAACATTCTGGCAAAAGATTCTTATTTCAATTAGAAATATTCTCGGATACTTACAAATACCGTTGTCGTCGGAGTAGAACCTCTTCGTGATATCTCTCCTATTCGGTGACCATTTTTCACAACGGCTGGAGCTGCGTTCGTTAACACCAGTACGGCAGCAACCGTAAGAAAGCACACAAAACTTGATCTCATTTTTGTAACAGTGTATAATCTGTTGATCGTCTCTGCTAATCCTCTCTCTGTGTAGTACAGGCGTGTATAATCTAGTGAAAAAATGAATTGTCTTAAATACTCTATGGCTGAAAGATAAGCTACCGTAACGTGGGCGTCAATATGTGACTAACGTGAATATTTAATATATAAAAATTTGACAGATTCCCTCATTATTAACAAAGAAATAGACACTTCTTATAATTCAAAGAAGGTCTTTTTTCACTTTATACAAACTATGACGCGACATGTTTAACTTTAAATTTATTAAAATACTTTGATAATTTTTCCGCTTGGTGAATTTGTTTGCCAAACCAAGGCTAGCCTGGCATCTGGTTTTTAAGCAAGCCTTATGGGAGTGTTTAATCTGCACATACGATCAATTAGCCCGGAGGAAAATTAGGGATTATTAAATTTCGAAATACAATTAATTTTAACACCGAAAAACAAACTAAACCGTCGCAACTGTTACGAATTTTGAGTTTGTGCAAGAAGTGCAGGTTTTCCCTGTCATTGAGATGCAGTTACTTTTTTAAAAGCGATGCATCATTCAATTTAGCAAAATTAATCACGTTAGGTTTCTGGGATAAATTAAATGTGCGTAGCAGCCAATGAAATTACAAATTATAATTTTCCCACTTTCCGATCGTGCATTTTAAGCAAGAAAGGGCATGTGGAATACAAGTATAGTGAATCTATAAACTATGCATTTAAGTTTTGCCTTGCAAATTAATTTCATCGTTCTGCTCTACGTGCAAATTATTCGCAAAGGAAATGTAATAATTAAACCAATATATACTACTCAAAATCAACTGTTCGACTAGAAAGTTCAATCCCAATATTTGATAGATTCCAAAAAGATCTTTATCAATTACACAGGTGTAGATTTTCAAGAGCTGAAGAGAAGTGACCGTTTAAATATCTTATACTTTATAGTCCTCAGATATTACATCATTAAGGTTACTTTCCATAGCGACGTGAAAAAACACCCATTCGACATTCGTACCTTTTCGGAACGCTATTTTCAGAGGAATTATTGCAACAGAGAGATGTTGCTTAGCTCAGCTTCTGGAAGTTGTACATTCCGTATCGGATAGGTGTTTTTCGCGTACGGTGTAGTGTAAACATATCCTAACACATTGAAACTGCAACCTTGACAACTGACCTTAACAACATTTATTTTTCATGCAATTATTTTATTGAAAAAAATTAAAAATGTATACCTGTATTAAGCTTACGTACACTATATATACAAAACTTCGTATACCAAGGAATTTTGGAGGCGAAAATTCTACGATTTTGCCTTGCCTTATTGATCGTAATCCATTGAATTCAAGTGCTCTGAGATCACTATAGAAGTGCTTTAAGTTTAAACTTAATATATAATTTAATTAAATAGGATCCATTCATGATGTCCCCGACGAAGGCAGTATAATGATTTTTTTCAACCATCGACTTCGATCGGTGTAAACCACCATTAAATGTTAGTATTTAGAAATAAATTTAGAAGTTTTTCCAGCCCTGTGCGTTTTTTTTCAGGAGTTAAATCATCTCCAAAAGTAGTATTATCTCACCATTTTTGGCCAGAATAACGCTTTTGAAATTTACAGTGTATATATAATCGAGTCGATCGACTTAATATCTGCTCTGTAGTTTCACAGATTTTCAAGTATTTTTTACAAACCGATCTGTCATTTGAGATATACACAACAGAAATAGAGTCAAGTATATACTACTATATTATAGTATATGACTATGTTGTTGCATACAAAATGTGTAATGTAATCGCATTGCACTTTTGAGGAACATTTGAAAAAGAATTTAAACATTGTTTCCATGGATCTGGGGAATATTAAACATTGTTTCCAGATCAGTTTTACGAAGGTTGAAAATATTTCTATATAACTCCCGTCGCTAAGGTATTAATAAAATAAGTGCTTGTTACTTCTTAGCGCCCTGCAGATAAAAAAATTAAGTTTATATTACTTTTAGTAGATTTGGAAATCCGATAATAAAAAATTCTGAAATTACACCTGTGTTCTAATTAGTTCAAAGCGTCTACTATTGCCGACTTACGTAATTCGACGATGAATTTTATCAAATAAAAAATTACCCGATTACACTTTGTGAGAACTGGGCTACTTCCTAGCGATGTTTGAGCCGAAAAATTAACGTAAGTTACTGCTAATATATCGGTTTAAATTAATTTTTACATGCAGAACGAGACGCTCATGACACTGTTAATTTTTCTCTCCAATTTGGATTTGACATTGTGTACAATGTGGGCCAGCAAAGTTTACATTTCATATTGGAAACTGTTTCAACTTGTCCAAACAAACCGGTAGACGAACAGCTTATGCGAATAAACATATAACGAAATGTGATTGAAATTAATCGAAGTTTTATTTACCTATAGCGAACACGCTAATTAGCAACTTTTTTCCAATGGCAACAATGCATTAAACTGTTTAATATTTCATTGTCTTTTATATGTTCAATGTGAGGTGAAATTCTGTGCAAAGTAATAGTAGAATTTATATTTTCTCCACCCTTCGAAGTTTAGGAAAGGTTCTGTGATTAACTGATTATTACAATGTATAATTGTAATAAAACTAAAGAAGACATTTTCTAAAGTAGTAAAGAACAAATACTGCATGACCACTTTTGTTTAAGGAATCGCAAAAGTAGCTACAAAACCCGTTTATTTTAGCTTCGTGTATAACACATACGTCATATAACAATCCGTTAAAAATTGGCAGTTTAACAGATGTTGATTTTAATAGGGTGAAACGCGGCAGATCTTTTGAGAAAAGTGGATTTCAAAAACTTTGATTCTAACTTGAATTTATTCATGCAAGTTTTTACATCATTCTTAGCAAAGCAAAGGCAGACCAGGCTGGTTAAATATTTGACTGTCGGACGCGATCGAGTGACGTCACTCGCGAAAGCTGCGACGCCGAACCAGTGCGCCGAACTTGTATATTAATGTAGTATACATTTATCATATTTTCGCCATATTATTTAACATGGAGTTTTATTAAAAAAATTGAATATTTTAGTCAAATATTTAACCAGCCTGCTTATAATTTCATAAGAAATGAATAAAAAATATTTGGTATATATTTCTGACATTAACAGATAGACAGATGTATATCTTATTCTAAACATGGACTTTAAAAGTATTAAGTTTGTTATACTTATATGATGATAACCTGTAATGATGAAAATTATCAAATTATTAATATATAAATTGCACTTTTTTGTATTCTGATTATATTTGAGGTATTTTTATCTATACCCTAGCTGTTAAAGCGTGAATATAGACACGCATGTTTAGTTGTTATGTGGGCACAAAATTGCCTCCCACATTTACACTGCAGGGGTGAGAATGATCCAGCTATATTTGCCTATTCTATATTTCGTCATCAGAGTTTTAGTAAAATAGAGACCCTTTATGTACACACTCGAGCAACTAAAAAAACGCCAAAGCGTCTATATTTGAGCGCGATATTTAAGTGATGTATGAAAGACCATTCAGGACAAAAGCTTCAGTCTTCAGAATTTTAGGTCTTCCAAAAGAAATTACATTGGCACATTGCCATCTCTTTTGCAGCGACGAGAAAATTGTGCTAAGACGGAATATGAAAAAATCCTAAAAGATGTGAAACAACTATATGTAATAAACTCGTTCCTATTGTAAAACCAATCATTATATGATCTGGTAGGACCCGGCCATACATTTTTCTCCCACAACAAAATACTTGCACTTTTATTTATTATAGAATAGAGCTGCATCTTTAAAATAAATTGACTCCACTTATATGACCATCTTACTTGTATACATTTTACTTATTTTAACTATATTCAATTTTATTCAATTTTATTCAAAGTAATTTGATATTGTTGTATATAGATTTTAATGATTTCTGTAAATCTGTCAGTGGACACTAAAGCTCATATCAATATGTTTAGTATACTGAGCTACGATTTTATATTGAGACGATTTCACAGTACATTTAATTGGATGGTTGCATGCTTCATTTAAATGCCAAAAATTCAGTCATCGTCTTTTAGTATCATTTTCAATGATCTGTTGATTGGCATAACTCTGAATAAACTTTAATATTTATAAATTTTCGTCATGATGTTATGATTTTTTTGAAGCATTTTTACAAAATCACCGGTATCTGGTACACCGGTAGATGGCGTCACACTATCTGGATTTACTATCAAAATACAGATTCGTTCAAAAACCATGCATTTACTTAAAGATTGCATGAAGTTAAAATTATATTATATAAGGAATATAATCTGTTTAGTACCAGTATAATCTGCTTTCTATATAAGGAATACCATGGCTTATTGCTCTCTTTTTTTGCTATGACGCGTATACAATGCATATATACTGTTTCGTCATAACCCAGTTATATGGCGCCAACTCACGTGAAACTCGCTTAGTAATTTCCGAGATTATTGCCGGGATTTTCAGTTCCTCTGACGTAAAATGACTTTGCTATTATATACTTACAACAAGCACTTTAGTCTTTAAAAATGGCAAACGTCCGACGAAAGATTGGAAACAGTAAAAAACAATGCACAAAGGCACGATCTTACTAAACTTGTAGTTTTGCCAGAATTTTATAGCCTAACCGATGCATGACTGAGCCGAAATTGTTTGGACCGAAACTTGTTTATCAATATTTACTATAATCATTATATGGATGAAAAGGAAAAGAAATAACAAGTATAATAATAATACATTTATAAAGCGCAAATTCTCATTAATGATTTTCAGACGCACTATTTATATTTATTGGAAATACACCAACATTAGATGGGAATACTGTCTGAAAGATTTAAAAAGTATAAGAATTATATCGTTAAAATATTAGTAACCGGAATATTAAGAAACAATGTCGTACGCTATACGAAATAGGAAGGTTTTTAATTGTCTTTTAAAACTAATAATAGATTGTGTATGTCTGTTTCAAACGTCGCGCTTCTCATGTGCCGAACGCATTAAAAACTGAATAGATAATCAGCTGAAATGCCTCATTATCTATTGTTTATAATGCGTTCGGCACATGAGAAGCGCGACGTTTGAAACAGACCTAGGAGAACGTATATAGCCTATATACTAAGGCTATATACGTCGATACTATAATCCGTTTTCGTAGCGTTTTCGTATTGCCGTTCACAAGGAAATAGAGAACAATGGTCTAATGGCCTGGAACAATACGAAAACCCTACGAAAACGGTTAGTGCGGACATAGTCTATGGGAAAAGTTGTTAGTGCAGGTTGGTAAAAGTCTTGAGAGTAGGCCTCCTTGGTGCATTACAGTGCATTGGCATTATGCTAGATTTGTCGTTAGAATAATGTTGTCGGAAACGCGTGATTAGATCGGTAACGTAATATCTTAAAAGTTTAAGTCAAGCACAGCTCTATATAGATATAAGCTTCCATTGAAAGTTCATAACAAGTCTAGCACAATGTCAATGTCATCACGACTTTTGTCATAGTCAAGTATGGTCGGAAACTACGCATTTTTGTGTCGAAGACAATGAATTAATTCGTCCAATAGCCTTGCCGAACTGCTCAAGCTGGGCTGTGTATTTCTCTTGTGTTTATATGAGAAAATTTCATCCCGCTTGCCGGAACAACGTACTTTGTCGTTTTGACAGTTATATTAAAAATATAGGATGAAAGTTGAAAGATGCCTCCGTCCGTCCGTCCGCCATCCATCCGTCCGTCCGTCCGTCCGTCCGTATACGCGTTTTATCCTAACCCTAACCGGGCCAGCCCGCTTTGGCATGAATGTTTATCTATAGAGCGAAATTTTCATCCCGGTATAAGCGAGACCTCGCCTTTTTTCGAGCGAGATCTCGGGCCAGCCTTGCTATATAGTCGACATATAAACGCACCTTTTTCCTTAATTTTTACTATAAAAATAACTGCACAGTGAGATTCCGTTTAATGCAGGGCTATCTCGCTAAGCGCGCAGCCCGGCTTACATGTAAACAACCCCCAAGAAAAATTTCAAGAAATTTGTACACGCGCGTTTTGCTCTCTATATTATAAATTAAAGCATATATATACCTTGCGATTGACTTGTTAACAACTTCGAAATTTTTTCTCTGTCAAATCAAGTGTGAGACTATGAATAACTATATGCCAACTGTTCAAGTAATATAATTACTAACCCAAACTTTCTAATCATAACTAATATATTTTATCTTATCTCTTCCCCCAAATCCATACTTATCTTATTAGTTTATATGTCTATATGATTCATATTTCGTAGAAGTCTAAACATAACCCTTTACCCACCGATAGTTTCCGCAAATAATACACAAATATTTTTCCGAAAAAAGTGTGCATGGATATATTACTATACACAGTCTATTATTTTTTTTAAACTGTATGTTTCGAAGCAGTTTCGAATCTTCAGCAGATATTTACATCTGCATGCATGCAGAGTTTTTAATAGATTGTGTGTTCATCACTGACACTTTTCCCGAATAACATTAGTTTTATCTAAACACATCCCGGACAAAATTACATAATATTACATTTTATTATTTCCATTTATCATCTTTTAGATGCTATCTTTCAAAACCTCAGTTAATTATGCCTCAAATGAAATATGCAAATATCTTATCAGCGTCAATAAAACGTATTAAATATTGTTACTTCATCTTCCTCAATATATTGTCAAAAAAATTTATCCATGACCAATTTCATTATTCTCAGTTGTATTCGTTATAAAGGCCGATTCACACTGCACAACGTTTGCCGAAATCATGTGTAAACGTCCATATATGACGATTCTCGTGGACAAAATCGATATGTGAGGCTTCCCTAAAACTGTCGCATGCAACCTTTGATTTGCACAGTACAACTCAAGTTGTAAGCAGGTTGCACGCGACAGTTTTAGAGAAGCCTCATACATATCGATTTTGTCCACGAGAATCGTCATATGCTCGTTTGGGTGTGGGGTTTGCAGTTGTGACGTTTCTCTGTCAAACATCATTGGAAAATTCAATAGTTTTTTCGGAAGCCTTAACATTTCGGAATCATCTTTGCAGAATATAAAAAGAAAACAACTTAATACAAACACCAATCTATACATTCGTAATATACCATTCCTGTTCTATACATTTATATTATTTATCACGCCTTCCTTGCATTGAAAACACTCAAACTTCAAGAAAAACGCGCTAGAATTGTCCGATAGGCGATATTTCATGCATGCAAAAAAAGTTGTTTTGAGAAACGTTGGAAATTTTTAAGTTCACATATTAATAATAAAACATGTGTCAGCATAAGATGACATATTCCTCGCGGAAGCATCGCCAATAACCGGCTGTAGAAGATTACACTGTGTGTATTGGGGACGGTTGTTCAAAGGCCGCTTATATAGCACTAACCCTGCATGGGTTACATTTTAACCTGCTGTTTTTGTTTATGTATTTCTGCATTAATCATTCGTTTCAAACCTTTAGAAAATAAAACCTCTATTGAACCAGAAAAGATTTCTGGAAAAAAACATATTCGACTTGATTGATGAGCTGTTGGAAAATTTAATTTGTAGATTTATGTTACCCCAGGGTTAGGCTGAGCGGCTTTTGAATAACTGGTCCTTGAAGAACAAAATATCGATAACTATGTGTGACCTTTCTAAGGGGTGGGTGTGGCGGGGGTCTCCAGAGAAACGTCCATATGACGTTTCTCATGGACAAAATCGATATGTGAGGCTTCCCTATTAGGCAAAAGTTGTGCAGTTGTATAAATCTGTCTTATAACACATGCGTGCGTGTTGTCTATACCGGTAAGGTGTTATAATCTATGCCGCCGGTAACAGGATTCAGTGGGACATCTCACTTCAGTATTAAATAGACCGGCTATATACTATAGAAATAATTGTTCAACTATTATTGAAGGGTTATTTGTAGAGAAGGGTTGTCAGTTGCAGATGGAACTTTCGTGTCTGTATAAGATTTATTCATTTTTTAGATCCAATCAGAAACTATATATATACAGGGTGCATGTATATATAAAAAAAATGTAATCCAAATTTGACAGCTAGGTTATATCGTGTGTTAATTATTTTATATAGGTTTTCTGTTTTCGTATTTATAAAGATCATTAGTTGTCAAAATGACACCTTTATGCATGAATCTTGCGATAAAAAATGACCAAATATACGATCTGATTTTAAAATGATCGGTTGAAATTGTACTTTTTCCACTTTTACGATTTAAATGTTCTTCCAATCAGTTTGGAACATTTGTCCAAATGTTTGTTGCCCATTTGGAAAACGAGTCTGCAAACCTCCAGTTCTGTAAAATATTTTAATCACTCAACTTCGATGCAAAATTGCGAGTAGACATTTTCCAAAACTTCGACGCTTGTACATGCGTTGCACCATCTTGATTCAAGCGACTCAATTTGAATCCCAAATGAGAATAATTTCAAAACTCAGACAATATAGCTTTGCATACATTTCCCAACGGTGGAAAATTGCGAGTTCGAGCGGCATTTTTAAAACGCATCGTATTTGGCTATCACTCGATGATACAAGAAAGGTATCAGTCGTCAGCTAAATGCCTGATCTTTATTGATATGAAAAAAGTAAATGGATAAACGCAGTATATAAGTCGTGATAACATGCCAAAGAAAGGATTATCTTTTTTATTCACCTGTATATATAGGTTCTCTGGCACTGAGGAAAAGCGATTCCGGTGCAGCGCTCTAACCAACTGAGCTATATAAAGTCCAGTTTCCGGCGAGTATAACCACAAGTGAATGCACATATCCCAGCGGGCAAAATGACGTTTATCCAACGTTGAATCAACGTTGGAAATGACCTTCCAGACGTTGGATAGACGTTGAAAAAGGGTTGACTATGCAAATTGGATCGACGTTACTGTTTCGACGTTGAAACAACGTTGAAATTAGGTTGCCAATCTCGTCAACCATAATTCAACGTTAAATCCACGTTAAAACAACGTTGAGATTGTTCACAAATCGACGTCGTACATTTAACCATGAATGAACGTTAATTCAACGTCTGTTGGCTGCTGTTGAACCAACGTTTGTAAAACAACGTCAGAGCAACGTAGATATTAGGTTGTCGACGTCGCAACCTTTTTTCTACCAAATTTCAACGTTGAAGCAACGTCGTGTGCCCGGTGGGATGCTACTATATATATATATATATATATATATATATATATATATATATATATATATATATATATATATATATATATATATATATATATATATATATATATATATATATATATATATATATATATACTGGATCCAGAAAAGTTTGACCTTCGAATATATATATATGTCGGCCATTTTGAATTTTCTTGGGTTAATTATACGCGAACGCATACATCAAATGTCGCTCGCAACGTATTGTATATTGCAATATTATTCCAACAGCTCAAATGAATAAAAGAATAATTGATTGATGTCTTTGCACATAATCATAATGGCTAGTAGGAAATGAACATTTGGAAATGAACATAGTGACCTGCTTCGCCAGGTCACGAATGCTGCGCGTGCTGAGTTTCAGGGGATGAAATATCGAATGACTATCGATTCCGTTAAAATTTCCGTTGGCAAAATATAATAATTCTGGACGTAGGTTACAGCTATAAAATAAGCACAAGTGAATACGAAAGAATAAACAAAGAAATTCATCGAGGCATGCTCATAAGCGTCTAAATCTCTAAGGATGCAAAAGAATAAATTACGACATGCCAAAAAGATCAGGTTCCAAATTGTGACAAGAGTTAATTAGCTAACAACCCTCAAATGTTCATTAGATAGCTACTACAAGTATGTGTAAGAACTTCAAGCAATGATCCTCTACTTATTTGAGCTGTTGGAATATTGCAATATACAGTACGTTGCGAGCGACATATGTATATACATATATATATATATATATATATATATATATATATATATATATATATATATATATATATATATATATATATATATATATATATATATATATATATATATAATATATATATATATATATATATATATATATATATATATAAGGTGATGCATGGGGTAACTGTCAACATTTTAGGCTTTTCAAGTTGAAGGCTGGAAATTTAAAGGAGTATAATTTTTTTTGCGGACAGAAATGTCGAGTACAAATCGAAATAATCTCTGTTAAGTAATCTGTGTAATATCATTTATTACCCTTTTTTGACGTTATAGATTCAGCTGCTTAAATATTTAATATAGTTAAAATAATTAAAATAATTAGTCTCCCACACTTCCGACGGACATTCATCCTCTGCGTGTATAACGACTTAAAGTTGCTTTGGCCTTGCCCTTGGACGATATTTCTGATGATATCTTTTCAAGTTTCAACATGAATTTCAAAGCGTAATTAGTCGCTTGGGGCAGCCTTCGTTTTTTTCCCACTGTCTCTTCAGCCACAAATCGACAAATTACGTAATCTGTCTATACGCTCTAAAAACCAGACCTCATATATAGAGGATATTACACGGCGGCGCGAAGATATGACTTTTATCTTCGTGTGGTGAAAGCAATATTTTACGAACGAACGCAGCGAGTGAGTAAAATATTATTTTTAACACGAGAAGGTAAAAGTCGTATATCTTCAAGCCACCGTGTAATGTTCTGTTTATTATATAATCCCAAGCAAAAACTTGTGAAATTTCACGCTCAAAACCAAATTGGAAAAAGTTACGTGATCGATATCTTCACTAGTGAAGATATGGAAAGTATCTCACTGTGTATTTTTCAGTATCTCACTCTCTACTTTATAATATACACTATTAGTACACTATTATTATACTTTAAGACGAAACCACAGACTGTAAGGGCGTATCATCTAGTGTAATCGAAACCTAAGTTGTTTAAATTCGCAGTTTGGTGCGCTATTCGGTGCTTCGGTGGCTACGAAGATAGGCTAGGTGTCACCCGTGTATACTATACACGTAGTATTTCAGTCATTTCATGATCCAAGTATTTTTTAATGGGGAAATACTCTGTGAAATGCGCATATTTTTCTTATAGAGTTAGAGCGGATTTGTACTGGCAGATCACAAGAACATCAGCTGACAGTATAGACATAGTGATACAAAATTTATGATTCCACCGCAAATATTCTAACGTGGATGGCAAATGCATTTTAGAACGCAACACAACATAAGTTAGTTTTCCTTCTGCATGTAGCACTGAAGTTATCATAGTTGGGCAATCTGAATGAAACTCGGGGTTTGTTATAAACCGGAAGTTTGCTTTAACGATTTACATTAATCTCGGATTAAACGTAATCATTTTCAGTTAAACCGGCGTCAGATTATTATGGGTGTGTGTACATTTTCTAAACATCCGGAATATTTCCTTTACAACATTTATCTTTTAATATGTCTGTTCGTAATCAGCACATGCTTCAATTAACACTTTCACTGGTTCCGGAACAGACCCATGCACACGTCAAAGTATAAACTATATATGTACAATGTATAGCTTTCTCAGTTTTAAACTGTTCTTCCTAGAGGTCCAGTAAGAGGCATCTCTTATTGATCTAGTGTTACTACAGGAGGAAACCTAAACTAAACTAACTTTATTTATACTTGATAGCCCTATCAGTTCTAAACTGTTCTTCCTAGAGGTCCAGTAAGGATCATCTCTTATCGATCCAGTGTTACTACATGCAGGAGGAAACCTAAACTAAACTAACTTTATTTATACTGGATAGCTCTATCAGTTCTAAACTGTTCTCCCTAGAGGTCCAGTAAAGATCATCTCTTATTGATCCAGTGTTCCTGCAGGAGGAAACCTAAACTAAACTAACTTTATTTATACAGGACAGCTCTATCAGTTCTAAACTGTTCTCCCTAGTGGTCCAGTAAGGATCATCTCTTATCCGTTCAGTGTTATTTTACACAAGGACGTAAAGATCTATATGGACATACGGTATTTGGTCAGTAGCTTCAAACGACTGCAGGCCCCCCATATAGTATTTACTTAACCTTGTCAGGCTTCCCATAAAGTATTTATCTGACCTCAAGCGAGCGACTATCTATGTTTAAATAACAATGATTTACGTTGTTACAGTACTTCTATAAATCACTTTTTGAAGGATTTATGTTTGATAGGATTTGTCTATGACTATAAGGAGAGCATTTTGGAACTGATATAGAGCTGTCCATGTAGTATTTTAGTTTGAAACCCCGTGGTATATTATTCCAAAAATGGTCGTACACCTTCCAAAAGTTCCAATGAGTCTTTCGAAGGGTTTCCAAATCCGGCAAAAAAATTTTAAATTCTTATCTCAAAACTCCCTATATAAAATCACTAAGAATCCCACAAAATATCTTAAAGTCTCAAAATCTCCTGCAAAATCCCTTTGTCTAAGTACCAAAATATTTTCAAAATCGTGCCAAAACTGCTGAAAATCTCGAAAAAAATGTCCAAATCCCCAGGTGGTTTAGCAGGGATTTTAAAATTCCAAGAATCCTCGCACGCTCTTTTCAGTATATTCATATACTAGAAGTTACTGTTGCAAGGAAAGTGCTGCCTCGCCCCCAAGGGATGAAAGGCAGCATACGCAATTTGCTGAATAAGGGGTTGTTTATATGATGCCGCTGTGCGAGGACGAGATATGAGGCGGGACGATTTCAATGTGTAATTGAAATAAGTCATGGTGCACAATTATAATCTAGCTTCTTGAACTACAAGATATTTTCTACAACATTTGAGTTCTGTTAACCAGCACATGATTTGAACTTTCGTTTAGTCTAGTGACTTCTTTCAATATATCAAAATCATCCCACCTTCCATTATGTAAACATCTCCTGTTTATGATATATATGCTCATAGTCATAGTAAAAACAGAAAAAAATAGGGGTCACCGAACTCGTTTCGAAGATATGACAAGTGCAATATACCACCTTTTCCCCCATATGGCGCCATCTTGATCCTTTTACGAATTACAGAATGCGGTATTGAATTTTTTTAACAAGGATCCTATTAAAAATGTCTATCTAGTGATTATATAAAATACGTGGTATTCCAGCGAATCGAAAACCATTGACGTGCATTGTCGTGGTGCAAAGATGTCTTCCCATCTTTTCAGACATGTCAGTTGGAAAGCATGCGCGAAAAATGTAAAATATTATAAGTTTGTGGAAATTATTTTTATCTTATTTTCTGATATGGCATGTCAAACGTATAGAAGAACAAAAATATAAAATAAAAAGTAGGGTCACGGTCCGAGACACAAGGGTTAAACATGCATGCATGATGTGGTTTAAAATGTTAGTTGCACAGAGAGCCCTATAGCCAGAGTTCTGTCATTTTTGAAGGTATATTTTCTGAAGCATGCCTAATCAATGCAGAGTGTTTTTCTCTTTGGCTTTGCCCTTACTCTTTCTTTACCACTTCACATTGCAGTTTGGTTACATATGTTAGCTAGACGTTGTTATTAGATATGCGCAATAAAACTAGAGCACAAGGATTTATGGTTGAGAATTTATAGGACCCAATTTTTTACATGAATTTGATTACAAAGAGAGTAAGGATTTTCATAATCATTATAATACCAGACACAAGAAGAACATACGTAAATCTAAAATAAACTGGGGTCAATGGACAACAATAAATAAATTAGTTTGTGAAGCACCAAATCTTGCTATTTTCAAGAGAAAACATTGGAAATATATCATTGTTGTGTTGTATATAAAATTCACTATCCTGTGCCTGGAAAAACTCTATTCACTGTAGCTATATATTTTACTATTGACAATTTTTAACTTGTTTCTAATTAGGTAATTACAAGACCCAATTGCAAATCACTTTTTGGTGAAATTTGCTATACCTGAATAACTGAAGATTATTATTATTAAATAACACTTGTCGAAACTTGAAAGGCCTCGGAATGTAGCCAGGGCCGTTCCTAGACGCGATAATTGGAGGGTGTATATTTATGTATTCATGTTCACATACCGTAAAACAATCGCTTTCAAAAGTGCGTCCGGGCAGAACACGAATATTTGAATACACCCTCCCCAATTATCGCGCTAGGCACGCCCTGAATGTAGCCGCGTTGACATTGTGTATAGTAGAATAGAATATAGAATAGAATAGAATATATTTGCTCACAAAAATATTTACAATGGAAATATAGTTAAAATACAAACTTATAAAGGAGCTAGGGACCTTTTGAAATCCTGTTGGACTTTTGATATAAGGCCCCTATATTGTTTTGATTAAAATAAAATACATGAATCTAAATTGGTTCAAGACATGATAATGTCTACAAGACATGATAATGTATACAAGACATGATAATTTGCCGTTTCTTTTCCACAATATTGTGAATTTCATTGTAGCTATTAAGTCCTTGCTATTAAGTTCCTAATAACGGTGTAGTTTATAAGCTGCATGCGTACTAGATTAAGTCTTGCTTATTAAAGTTTACAACTGTGCCAGTACGTGAAGGCGCGAAAGAAATGGTTCCTAAAACATTTCTGGGTGACGCATGTACTCAAGGACCTCAAGTGAAACTCCGAAGTAGCTGACGAATGATATATTACGACAATGCATCAAAATGTCACTAAAATGATCATACCAATGTAAAGAATGAATTTCATATGTTGACCTTTGTTAAAATAAACACTTAGACAACAATGGAATACCATTAACCGAGAGGCAGTCGTCACTCGTTAATTTTACAACTCGATGAAATTGCGCGCGCTTAAAAACCCATATAGCGTGAGAAAAGATGATATGGAAATAGCTTTCGGATGTTCAATTTATTTTCCCAAAGGCTATAAATGTCAGTGACCTAGCGCAAATTGAACCGACAGGAGGTCCAGCTAGCTAGGCTTATCAAACCAAAAATAGAGATCATATCATTTACTAAACTAACAAAGTTTTCAACCTATACTATAGTGAAACTGCTAAACTGCGACCTTACTCACTCAGAAAATATGTATAGTTCTATGTTATCCCTTGATAAGTACTATATTTAAAACACCAGCAGGAGTGCTTTATTAGATATAAAAACACGAGCCGTTAGCCGAGTGTTTTATATCTGATAAAGCACGAACTGCGAGTATTTTAAATGGCTTAAAAAACGATCCATCTTATGAGTTTATTGGCGAAGTAATTTTAAAAATCAGCGTTGCCTATAAGCCGAGAAAATCAAAGTCAAAGCTAAAATTTATGTAAATTACAGGCAGTGATTTCTTTTGTCTTTCCCTCATGAATTATTAATGCCGTTTTTTAACAGGCTCCAATTTTCCCCGAAGGCGAAGCCTCAAAATGCATATTGAATAAACCCCCCGAAAGCCACAGAATCAATAAATTAATATATGGTTTGAAGGGATCATATTTTTTTATATCGTATAGTCTTGTCGGGTACGAAACTAAATTGCAATTAAGAAGTCTAGTGGAATTTGTTGATATTCATAACTCAAAAAATGATTAAATTTGCTGTGAAATTTTTGCAGTGCAAAAACCATAAACATTTCGCAACTGCATGCATGCATGCATGTAAATATCGTGTGACTCTCTACACTTCGTATATTGATTGTCTAGACTCTATATATATTGTTATATATATTCGTTCTAATATTTGTTATAGTATTGATAAACTTATTATTAAAATAAGATCAAAAGTGGAATCACAAACATTTCCCTGTTGTATCTCATACTAAAAAAAGCCAGTCCAACCAATTCAGATGGCTTTAACGGGAAATTCGCATTTTTTACAGGTCCTCTGGCCCCTCTGCACATGTTTATATCGGATATGAGGGCACTTTGCCGTATTAGTCATTTGAACTAATGCGAAGCTAGCTTGAATTTACAACTCGTAAATGCTAACTTTAAATGTGCAATCATACAAGCATACCTGCGCAAAACAGGTCGACGTTTGCTCAGAATTTAGAATATATCCGCGTTTAACATGCAGTGGACAAAATTGAAAAATAAAACCATTGATTGATAAAGATCAAATGATACATCATGGTATGACCACGGCGCAACGTATGCTATTATATTTAAATCAGCATATAATTTTATTATGTTATATTATATAACTATACCATTATACGGTTGTGAGGTACGATATTGTATTAAATACTACAGGACGATTTATACTACACAACCTTTGCCGGCCTTTGTCGCATGCAACGTGCTTACAACTTGAGGTTGTACTGCAGTGAATCGTATAGGCGAGTTGTGCCGGGCTTGATTTACACAGCACAACTCAAGTTCTAAGCAGGTTGCATGCGACAGTTTAAAGCAAAAGTTGTGTAGTGCACATGAACCTTATAAAGAAAATAGAGAGAATTCTTTTATTGTGTAGAAAATACTATTTCGATCCGTTCGGGTCATCGTCATGGCGAATAATGAATACATGCACTCAGCTAACTAGCTTGCGGGTCATTTATTTCGCAAATCGTTCAATGCATGCAAACATATGCTGTCTTTCACAAAGAGAAACAATTATATTTATCGCAACGTATACAAGTATATATATATAACAAGAAATCGAATTAGTTCTGCTTACCAGGCGACGAAATGAAATCCCCCGATCTGATGTGCTCGCTCCGATGCTGCGCGGTGTCAGTCGCAAAAGAATGCCTGCATTCAACTGATTTGTCAATGCCGTGACTGCTGGTACATGTTGTGGTCGCATGCGCGTTATTCAAGACACTTTGGATTTTTCAAGAATTTGAATATAATGCCGTATTTTATTTCAGTGTCACCGGAGGGCAAGTAATGTCGGAAATATTAAAAAACACGAGAGAGCTTAATTAAAGCTGGGAAGTTATTTTTTTACCGAAACTGTGTTGGAGCTTTTCGGATTGCGCATTTCGTATGCATGCGTAGGTTTTTCGTCCGGAAATGTTCATAATAACGTGTAAAGTTTAAATCCATTTAGATGTAACTAAGGCCCCAGTTACACGATACCGGATTCGTATCGGAGCGACATCAATTGATGTTTCCAGCTATACACTAAATTTTGATCTAGGCAAGAAGAACAAAATCCATCATCACAGCTAGAAAGGGCATGTTAAAATTAGTAAAATTGCAAAGTTTGGTTGCGAAATGTTGTAAAATGAAATTTGCAAATTTGCAAAAAAAAATTTTTGCAAAAAAAAAAAAATTGCCGATTTGGAATTTGCAAATTTTGTTTGTATTATATTTCACCACATTTGGGCCGAAAGTGGTGCATTTTCCCGTGCATAATACAAAATCAATACAAAATTTGCAAATTTCGTAGGGCTATACTATTTTCCTCATTTTACAACATTTCGCAACCAAACTTTGCAATTTTACTAATTTTAAGCTGCTCTTTCTAGCTGTGCTGATGGATTTCGTTTTTCTTGCCTAGATCAAAATTAAGTCTACAGCTGGAATCTGCTTTCTGCTCTTACAAATTTTCATATTTCAGGAGCTTTTGTTTAATTTTGTTATATTATCATAATTTTAAGTGCAAAATTCACCTCGAAGCAGTAATTAAAATTTGATGTCCGGCTCCGATGCGAATCCCCCCGTATCCTGTAACTGGGCCTAAATGAAAGAAAGACGGCATTTAATATCGATATTATGATTTATGCTGATATATCAGGATAAAATTATAAATGAGATTATATAAGCCACAGTGTAGATCCCCCCCAAGGGAAGCGAAAAATTGGTTCGAGTTGCCGATATTGGATTTCGTCTATTAAATATGGAATTAACAATAAGGTATATTATTCACTGATATTTACAATTGCATGTGAACCGCCATTACGGTGCTTTATATTATTATTATTATTAAGTCTTTATTATAAAATTAGAATCACAACATACGTGTGTCTTCACAATATCACAAATAAAATTACAGCAATCCTCACTAACTACGAACTAATGAATTAATTATAGCTAACAATAATTTTCTAATGAATGAAGGTAGCCTATAAATAAAAAATAGAGCATTAATTAAGGTTAATATTATAATTTGCAAGTTGCATCTGTGCATCGTTGTTAAAAATAATTATTAAACAGACATATATTAAAAAAGGACAGTTTGAAACGTTTGGGAGAGTAATTGGATGCCCTCGTTCTCTTAATTAAAACGCCATGATGTCTCTTTTCCGGAAGTAAATCATATAAACCGTGATCAGGAACATTTATAATTTTATGAAATAATGTTTTGTCGCGCTCTTCTATCAATTCAGACATTTTATATTCCTTTAAAACGTATCCATATAGGTGGACTAGTCTGAAGAATTTATCAATGCTCTCCAAATATTTCCTTTAGCAAGGCCAAACCCCAAGTTTGTTAGAAAGTTAGTTCGGGCAAAGTTGGTTAGGAAGTTTTTATTAGTTAGTATTGATAATCGTTATTGATAACCGTTATTTCAATAACGATTATCAATAACGGTTATTACCGAAGCAATAACCGTTATTCAACGTTACTTATTTATTTAAATAACCGCGTTAATAACCGTTATTTACCGTTATTGATAAACAGGTTTTAGCATCGCAGACTATTTATCCGGAACTTAAATGTTGGTTCCGTTTTCCGGTGTGACGTAACCTGAAGTTCAGGCCCTATCACAGAATAGGGCCTGACACAAAACCTATCTAAAGTGTGGGATTCCCGTCCACCTGGTGGACGGGAAATCTGA